TAATAATAATAAAGAGGGGTCTTCCTCTTTTCCCAGAATTTAACTAATGCTCCATTTTACCATGCAAGATATCCCTTCTCTAGGGACTGGTCTTTTCTGACAACATAGCCAAAGTTTTAGGAGAGGAAGTCTTGACATCCTTACTCTAAGGAGTATTCTGGCTGTATTCCTTTAAGACAGATTTGTTTTTCTGGCAGCCCATGGCTTTTCCATTTTCTTCACCATACCAAAATAATTTAAATGAATGGATTCTTGTAAGGTTTTCCTTATTCACTACCCAGTTTTCACATGCCTATCAAGCAACTAAAAATACTCTGGCTTGGGTCAGATGCACCTTAGTATTCAAAGTGACAGACTGCTCTTTAACACTTTAAAGAGGTCTATCAGCATTATTTCTATCACCAAGGCTATATTTTTCAACTACTGATCCTTCCTCTGTTTCCAACTTTTGTATTCCAATCACCAGTAATTACCAATGCATCTTGACTGCACGTTGGATCAATTTCAAACTGAAGAACTTCATCATTGGCTTTAGTGGTTGGTGGGCAAATCCGATTAATAATTGTACTTTTTTGTTGTTGTTGTTAGGTGTCTAAAGTTCTGACTCACAGAAAGCCTGTACAGAGTTTCTGAGGAGTGAGGAGTGAATGATTGGTGAGTTTGAACTCTCGGCCTGTGGTCCAGTGCTTATCTTACAGCGCCATACCAGGATCCAGTCTTCCTTGTTGTTATTAAGTAAGTGCCATTGATAGGGTTCTGACTCATAGAGACCCTGCATAGGGTTTCCGAGGAGCAGCTTGTGAGCTTGAACTGCTGACCTAGCAGTTCAAACAGACCTTGCAGTCCATGTGTATAGATATTATCCTATCACAGACAGCACTGTACTTCAGGGCAGATCTTGAAATGTTCTTATTGTTGATGAATGTGATGCCATTCCTCTTCAATTTTGTCATTCCCAATATAGTAAACCATATGAATGTCCAATTCAAAATGGTCAATATCAGTATGTTTCAGCTCACAAATGCCTAGGATATCAATCTTTTATGCATTCCATTTCATTTTTGACTACTTCCAATTTTCCTAAATTCTTATTTCGTAAAATCCACTCTCCAAATATTAATGGAGGTTTGCAGCTGATTCTTTGGATTTTGAATTGTGCCCCATCAGCAAATGAAAGTCCCGAAAGCTTTGCTGCATCCACATCACTAAGGTTAACTCTATTTTTTTTTTTTTAAATGCTTTATTGTGAACTATGCAATACTTTACATGGGAGAACATTAGCTATACATTCATCCTATTGTATATCGTTTCAGTACTATGGTTACAATCCCTTCCATGCATCACCAACTAACCAAAGGGTATATATACCCTGTAAGCCTGCCCCCTGGTCATCAGCACACAGCCCCTCTCCCTCTCTGGGTTCAGAGTCCCCAGTCACTCCATCTCTCCATGTCGTCATTTCTTCCTCCATCTCTGGCGTCACTCCTTCTCTGGGTAGGGTCCCGCACTTCGCTCTTCTCACCTGATGGCCCCAGGGACATCTGCTCCTAGACTGCAATGTCAATCACTCCCTTCCTTTTGTTACAAAACGTCTACCTTTACATTTCCAACCCTCACAGTCAGTCCCCATAGCAATATTTCACTATTGTGCAACCTGAGTGCCATCCGCATATCCTTTCATCAGCCCCTCCCAGACACATTGGACACTACTCAGTGGAGATTCCACCATCCTCTGTGCCCATGGATCTAGGCTCCCTCTTGAAAGCTTGTAAGCCAGTCACTTCTTGCCTTTGTAGCCCCCCATTTTGGGTAGCAAATGTGCTAGTTGCCCATCCCTGTATACCCTATGTATCGAGGTGGTGGGAATGATCCTCACTGTAAAGATCTGTTCACTCTTTTGAGCTATTGCATCCAAAAGTGTAGGTCAAGTTCATCAAATTGTAGCAGATCTCTCTTTTTTTTAACTGTTCTTTCTTCTTGTAGTTGAGTTCTGATCATCCAGCCACTGAAGCCAGGTCAAGTGGGTATTACCTGCAAGTGTGGGTATTCTTGTGCATATGACATCTCTTCTTATCAGCTGGATGTTTCACTCCCCACACTAGTCCTCTGTGGCTATGTCACTGACTCTGGGTCCAGGAATTGCCATACTGCTGGCCAACCAGGTCTCCACCAGAGTGTACAAGAGTCTATTGAATGTGGTGGTATGGCTTAGCTTGCAGATTCACTGCTGTTTTACCCTCACTTCTCCTTCTCAGTGACCAACGTGGTCACCTGTCAGAGCGCATGTCTGCTCTTGTATTCCCATTGAGTCTCAGTCTTGGAAGAGTTTGCCCTGAGGAGATGCAACCACTTGCCTTGATGTCTCCTGGGTGAGCAACTAGCTAGTTCTTGTAGTAGTCAGTTGGACTGCCATTATTGGTTTGTGTTTTTCCTGTGGGGTCTGCTTTCAAGAAGTACCTTCTGTTCAGAATTCTAGCCACTCCAGGCTGTTCTGCTTGTCCCTTCCAGTGAAAATTTCCCACCTCAGAAGATTCTGGATGGGGTCTAGGATTCTACCTATGGCCTTTCGCAGGAAGCCTCCTTCACTGGGCACCTTGTAGCCCCATTAGGCACTTCAATCAGTTAGTTATAGGCAAAAGACGGACTTACAAGCTTTCTATGGAGATATTTATGGTTATTCCTTTCTCTCCCCCGCAACTGTCTAGTTTATAATGGTATGCAAGGGAAACCAAGATTCAAAAGACAGCCAAGCGTCTTAATATTATTTTGCACCTTTTACCCATTCCAATCATGTCTCAATCCCTGTATCCCAGAGCCCTGTTGTTCCAAGGTTGTACATACATCATTATTTCCCTCTGTCCCATATAGCCCACGCAAACCTGCCCAATTGTTTTCCCATCCAACTTGTTCTTCCATTCCCCTCCTCCTTCTTGTGTATTGCCCCCTACCCCAACACCCAAACTATCCTGTGTCTATTCCTTACCCTGTGCCCCACCTTCCCCATCCTCCCCTCACCCACACCCCGGTAAACAGCAAAGAATACTGCCCCCACTTTAGTATGGGTTCTTTTTCTTACTCTTTCACAATAGTGGTCCTATGCAGTATTTCTCCATTTGTGACTGACTAATTTCACTCAACATAATGTCTTCAAGGTTCATCCATGTTATGTGATAGCTTACAAGCTTCCTTATTGTTCTTCAAGGTAGCATAATATTCCATTGTGTGTGTGTACCAAAGTTTGTTTATCCATTTTTCAGTTGATGGGCATTTACGCTGTCTCCATCTTTTTGCTATTGTAAATAGTGCTGCTACGAACATTGGTGTGCATATATCTACTCGTGTTATGGCTCATATTTCTTGTGGGTAAGTACCAAGTAGAGGAATTGCTGGATCATAACTTTCTGAGGAAGTGCCATATTGCTTTCCAGACAGGTTGGTCAATTTTGAAATCCTACCAGCATTGCAGGAACATCCCAG